CCCCAAAACCCCAAAACCCCAAAACCCCTCAGATAGAATCAGAATTGAAAAACTTGGTCATTGTCGAAAATTTAGATGAGTAATTATTAAGATTCGTATCAGAACAGAATATTTGGAGTTTGAATTATTTACTCATCAAAATCTTCTAGCATCGAGAGCTGTGGTTTTGGGATTTGCTGATCATTTTAACCTTAGAAGGAATGAATAGGGTCTCACTGAATAGTAGGGCAAGTAGAAAAGCCACCACTGAAGAGCCACCCAAGATGTAAAATAGTATATCACGTGAAATGTTTCCTGACCCTGTCTGTTTTGTGAGAATGAACGTTACTATAGATGAGACAGCAAATGAAGCAAAGAGAAAAGTATATACAGTGCTTCCAATGCTTCCTCCAAACACTTTGGCTGATAATGGAGCGAATAGAGCGAAATGGCCTCCTAGACAGGCAAAAGCTACAGCGATCCAAACGAGGTACAACATAGAGTAGCATGCCACTTGTGTTAAAGTGAAAGCATTAATTATTTGAAGAATCACTAATCAAAGATAGACTTTATTTGAATCCAAAATAGTCGCTTAAGACTGCCCATCCAAGACGAGATGCTCCATTAGATATTGCTCCAATAGCACCTACAATGGTAATAAAGTGGTCATTATCAATCTCCTGCATTCCAAACGACTTGAAATTTGAAGCCAAGTAGTAAGGATACAATGAGGAAGCAAACATAATCATTCAAATGTGTAATGACTTCCAGCTAATTAATGCTTCTCTCAACCTGGTTTTATAGATAGCCTCAACAGATACTTTCTCCATTGAAGGAGCTGAAAGTGCGTCTCCGTTCTCACTAGACTCGATTGTGTTGATAAGCAACTTACGCTTACTCTCAACATCCTGAACAGTGATCTTACGTTGCTTCTTTCTTCGAATGAATGGAATACTGATTATGCATAAAACTGCCCAAAGTAGTGCGTTCACTCTTATCATCAAAGGTGCTCTTTCAGATATCGGATTATCTCCAGAAAAGATCTTCCCTCCAGTTACCTCTAAGGTCGGAGCTTCATTTCCAGGATTGACAATGGCTACTGAGATGAAGGAAAATATGAAAGAGCCAAATCCGAATCCTGCCACAATTATTCCATTGACCATGCCCTTTCTATTAGGGAAATACTCCCATCCTGCTATTATCGGACACATATATGCAGGCCCGATACCTAGTCCGAATCAGAATCCATAAAGGATAGTGAAAAGTATCAAACTACTTGTGAAGGAGGACACGAAGCAACTTCCGATCGCTATTACTGCTCCAAGGATACATCAGAGCCACGGAGGCAACTTCTTCATTGCAAATGGTGCGATCGGTGTAAACAGTGCAGATGCAACCATTTGTACAGGGAAAATTACACTAGTATCATCCAATGTGATGCTCTCATTGTGCTTATGTAGATACGAGGTAACGTACACAGCTATATTACCCCATAGGAAGAAGCAGCCGAGGTATAGGTGCATAATAGTACCTGCAATTATAAGTAAGATGCCTTGTGTCTTATCTTTCATTTAAATGATAAATCCCAAATCTACTTTTTAAAGCTAACTCCTTTGTCGACAACTAAATCTCCAGATTTCAATGGCGTAAGTCAGATTTGGGGTTTTGGGGTTTTGGGGTTTTGGGGTTTTGGGG